CACTACTGCACTACGGCTGCACTCGCCGGAGGGCAAGCTGTTGGGGGAGAGCTTGGTATCAGTCGGTGGTAGCCGTAGTGCAGTAGTGGCGCGGCTGCAGCAGTAACAGCGCAGCAGCAGCACAGCAGCCGCAGCAGCAACTTCGAGCCCTGCGGTGTCTAACTCTTTCAGTCTATCTAGGCGGCCGCGAGGTTAACTCTACTTCACAGGCTCGGCGCAAGACGCTCACACCACTATTCACGCGCTCGCTCCCTGTTCCTCTCGTCACTGACTTGATTTGTTCCCATCCCGGCCTTCCTGCCCGTCTTCTTCTTTCCCCTTTTCCTCTTCGCCGCTGGTGGGGCACTGCTGCTCGCCTCGTCGCCTTCCGCCATCACGGTCGGCGCCTCGTCGTCGAGCGCCTCCCCTCGCTCGCGCCGCCCGAGGACCGTCTCGCCTCCTGGAGCACTGCTGATCGTGTTGGACCCCGTCTCCGCCTCGTCGACGGCGTCGCAAATGCTCATCTCGTCCTCGTCGTCGCCGAATGGGTCGCATCGTGGGCTGTCGCCAGCGGTTGGGAGGTCCGCCTCCCCCTCGAGCTGCCTCTCCATTTCTAAGTCGTCGCTGGTCGGCGCTGCCTCTTCGTCTGCTCGTAGCGCCTCCTCTCTTGCGCTCGTCCGTTTCCGCTTTCTCCTCTGCTGGCGCCCGAGGTCATCTGTTCGGTCGCTCGCCCCTACCCCCTCCTCGCCCCCTCCGCTCTCTCGCCGCTCCCGCTCCTCGCTGGCCTCCGCCTCCTCCTCTCCGCGCAGCCTCCTCTCAATCGTCTGGCCTGCCATTCCGAGCGCATTCTTCCTCGCCGCCTCCTCTGCGGCGTGACCGTGAAGTACGTCCGATGTCGCATCGCCAGCATCCAAGATCTGTCTCTGCCTGTCGCTCACCACTCGCCCGTATCCCAGCGTAAGGGCGAATTCTCCAAAGGGCCCTATCCTCGTCGCAAGCTCCAGCGGGTGTCGGTACGGTCGTCGTCCTCGTAGCCCATGGGACGGCTTAGGGTCTCCCTCGTCCTTTGTCGGGTCTCCGCTAGCCTCTGCCTCGTCGCCGACTGTGTCTTGGAAGGCGTTGTCTTCCCCCTCGCACTCACAGGCTTCGCTGTCGTCCGCGCTGCCCTCCAGCTGCTCGTTGGGCGGGTCGTCGCTCGCGCCTCGCGTCGCCGCTTCGTCACGCCCACCCTCTGCGCTCGCGCCTTCCGAGGACGGCCCCGCTCCACTCGTCGCCTCCGCACTCCGTTTCTGTGCCAGGGCCTTGACCTCTCGTATGATGGATTCCGCGTGGCATCGGTTCGGGCGGCAGACACAGCCAAGGCGAACGTCAAACCCTTGCCTCAGCGCGTCGGCTAATCGCACTAGCTCGTTCCACCTCTCGCCAGGTTTGGTGTTCGGTCGCCTGTTTGTCGGGTCTGGCCTGAGTCCGGCCTCAAGCTGGGTCTGCTGGGCCGCCCATAGCTCCGTCTCCGCGTCGTCGTCTCCGCCTTCGGTCTCGACAATCTTGCGCAGCATGACGTCGAAGGCCTCACACTGTCGCGCGTGTCGCCCCCCCGCGCTCTGCGCTCGCTGGGCGCCCATCGCAGACGATCGAGGGCGGCACGCCCACGATAATGACCCAATGACGATCGGCCCCCTGCGCTAGCCGCTCGCCGGGTGCCTCTCGCCGACGATCGAGGGCGTGGCACGCCCACGACAGCAACTCAATGATAGCGTCGGAGCCTTGCCTATTCACTCGCACCCTCCCGAGTGCCCTCGGGGCGCACTGCATCGCTCGCGACGTGCCGCCGTGTGGCGCGCGACGCAAACCAGCGACAGTTGCTCGGGTCGATCGAGCGCGACGCTCTACTTCGCTGCGTCGAACGACCTCTCGGCGCGCCACACATGCGCTGGCCGCCTTCGCGAGGCGCCCTGCGCCTCCTCTACACGCACCGCACGCCTTCGCGTCACGTGCCTTTGGCGAGAAGGCCGCCTGCAGCCGCAGCCGCCTCTCCGCCTCTTACACGAGCATGCCTCATCTCGGCATACTCAGACGTTCATAGCGGCCGCCAGCTCGAGCGCGCCCCGCGCCTCGCTAGGGCTCACCGTGCCGTTCTAGCGCGCCCCTCAGCCGCACAGGCACCCTCCCGAGTGCCCTCGGGGCGCTTCATCGCCCGCGACGCGCCGCCGTGTGGCGCGCGACGCGAACCAGAGACAGCTGCTCGGGTCGATCGAGCGCGACGCTCTACTTCGCTGCGTCGAACGACCTCTCGGCGCGCCACACATGCGCTGGCCGCCTTCGCGAGGCGCCCTGCGCCTCCTCTACACGCACCGCACGCCTTCGCGTCACGTGCCTTTGGCGAGAAGGCCGCCTGCAGCCGCAGCCGCCTCTCCGCCTCTTACACGAGCATGCCTCATCTCGGCATACTCAGACGTTCATAGCGGCCGCCAGCTCGAGCGCGCCCCGCGCCTCGCTAGGGCTCACCGTGCCGTTCTAGCGCGCCCCTCAGCCGCACAGGCACCCTCCCGAGTGCCCTCGAGGCGCTTCATCGCCCGCGACGCGCCGCCGTGTGGCGCGCGACGCGAACCAGAGACAGCTGCTCGGGTCGATCGAGCGCGACGCTCTACTTCGCTGCGTCGAACGACCTCTCGGCGCGCCACACATGCGCTGGCCGCCTTCGCGAGGCGCCCTGCGCCTCCTCTACACGCACCGCACGCCTTCGCGTCACGTGCCTTTGGCGAGAAGGCCGCCTGCAGCCGCAGCCGCCTCTCCGCCTCTTACACGAGCATGCCTCATCTCGGCATACTCAGACGTTCATAGCGGCCGCCAGCTCGAGCGCGCCCCGCGCCTCGCTAGGGCTCACCGTGCCGTTCTAGCGCGCCCCTCAGCCGCACAGGCACCCTCCCGAGTGCCCTCGGGGCGCTTCATCGCCCGCGACGCGCCGCCGTGTGGCGCGCGGAGGTTCAGCGGGTTAGGGTCCCCGTCGGTACACCAACCCGACCGGCGCGGGACCCTATCGGAGCCCCGCGTTCCTCATATCCATTGAGCCCCACGTTGTGGACGGCGAGCTCCCTACTACTGATCACCCCAGCATGACGGGGATGCATGAATGGAGGATGGGAAGAAACCTGTGTCGAACCTGTGTTTCGTTGAATTCTTTTTGATAGAGCACTTTCATGGCTTTGGCCGAACAGAGCGAGCAATGGTCGTCTCTTCGGCCAGCGTCCTGCCCACCAGGTTGTCTGCGATGAAGCTCGTCGTCGTCTCGGGTGCATCGCGCGGCCTCGGCCTTGGGTTCGCCAGCCAGTTGCTTCGCCGAGCGCCGCAGAGCACCATCGTCGCCGCGAGCCGCTCCGGCACGTCCGATGGGCTGGAGAGGCTAATGTCAGAGTACCCCGGCCGGATCCTGCCGGTGGCGTGCGACGTGACCGAGCAGGCGTCGACGCGCGCCCTCACCGAGCAGCTCAAGGCCGACCTCGGAGGCGCCAAGGTCGACCTGCTGCTCAACGTGGCGGGCAAGCTGCACGGAGGCCAGTCGTCGGCCGCCGCCGAGACGCTGCCGTCGGAGTATATGCCGGAGCGGTCGCTGGGTTCGATCGACGCCACGGCGATGCAGAGCGTCTTTGCGACCAACGCACTCGGGCCGGTGCTCATGGCGCAGGCGATCGCGCCGCTGCTCGCAAAGGGCGGCGCCAGCCCGTGCTGCGCGCGGCTTTCCGGACGCTTTCCGGAGCCGTACGGCACGCGCGTCGTGTAGGCGCGATCGTCGCCAACCTGTCTGCGCGCGTCGGATCGATCGGAGACAACCGGCATTTAAATTCTGCTGGGCCGTACCGTCTTGTCTTCGTCAGAAGAGCCTTCTCGGAACACTGCACCGTAGGCTGGGCGGCTGGTGGTCGTACCGAATGTCAAAGGCGGCACCGGGACATGGGTCATCCTGGGGCTCGGAGCCTCGGCGAATCGTGGCGCATCACCTCGGCGAATAGGCGGCGCTGAGCAGCTGTCCCGTCGCCAGAGAAGGAATGCCATCACTGAAGAGAAGAGAAGCGCGACCAGGCGGCGCTGAACATGGCGACTGTCAACATGGCTATCGAGCTGCGGCGACGCGACGTCTACGCGGTCTCGCTGCACCCCGGCACCGCGGTGCGCCCGGAGTAGCCAGTAGTGGCGACGGCACGAGCTGAGAGAGCGCCGCCAGTCATCCCGCCCACGGTCGCTCTTTGAGGCGTGGGCACGGACACATCTCGCTGCTGGGCTGCGAGGCTCCGCCCTGAACCACCTCATCGCCCCCGCCTCCCCCCCGCGCGCGTGTAGGACACGGGACTGAGTGTGCCCTTCCAGAAGAACGTGAGACCCGAGAAGCTCTTCACGGTGGAGTACAGCACCGCTTCGATGCTCGACGTCCTCGACGGGCTCTCTCCCTCCGACTCGGGCGCCTTCTTCGACTACGCCGGGGCAAGGGTCGAGTACTGAGGGCAGCCCCTGCAGGGCGAGGAGAGATGGTGGTTACCAAACGACAGTCACTGAAGCGGCTCGGCCCGAATTCCCACGGTGGGTGCTCCTCTCTCGCGAGTGATTGAATGTGTGTTGTGGTGTGCTTGGAGTGCAGTCGGTAGCCTCATACATTGGGCTGAACACAGTTTGCCTCTCGCACCCCGTCTGTTTTCCTTTCCTTTTTCACAACACCCTCTCTTTTCCTCTCTATTTTCCCGGGAAAACTGCGTGGAAATCGTCAAATTTTTGGCTCTGTTTGGGCCCAAAATCAGCCAAATTTTAGGCCAAAGCGGCAAAATGCCGGGAATTTCGCGGAGAACCCGTGTATACCTGGAAATTACCCTGCGACCGCCTGGGTATTTTGTCGATTTCTTCAATTTTGCCTCAGATTTTGCCCCAGACCAGCTCTCAGACTCAGGGAAACGTTTCCAGAATGGAGCACCAAACACCCTCTGTTTTCCCTGGAAATTTCCGGAAACGCAAAGTGCTGGGGACCCTCTGTTTTCCTTTTTGTTTTCCGGAAAACTGTGTTCAGCCCAAGCCTCACATGGCCGGAGCTAACCTTGCCGGGGAGCTAAAATTTTGAACCTTGCCGGGGAGCTAACCTTGCCGGCAAAATTTCAAGTTGCCTCATCACGCGGCTGCGATCTCGGGGAGATATGACTCGGTTTTCTCTTGCCTCTCGGGGAGAACAAACGCCAAGGCGAATCGCTCTCGGGTCCATCACACCCGCCGCCCCCCCTCCCCCCCGCGCGCCCTGCTGCTGCTGGTGCTGCTGCTGCTGTTACCTCCGGTCCACACGGGTACTTCCTCGGACGTTTTTCTTCTTTCTGGCCGCCAGCAGTATGCGCCGCGGCGACGCGGCGTACGCCGCGGCGCATACTGCTGGCGCTTCGCGGGCTGAGGCGTGCGACGCCGCCGTGAGGGCGGTGAGGTTGGACGAGGTTGAGGCTCAGTCCTCGTTCCTCGGGCGCGCTGGGTGGTACGGCTCCGGCCGAGATGGGGGCGGGGAGGGGGCGGGGGCGACGGCCGCACGGAATCGCCGCCGGCATGGGGCGAGGGCGCGGGCGAAGGAGGAGGAGCCAGAGCCCGGGGAGGATTGGGAGGGGGAGGAGCGGCCGGAGGAGTACGCCGGCCTCTTTGACGACCCGTAAGGGGCCGTCGCCTGCTGTGCCATTTGTAGTGCCAGTCCGAGCCAGTCTGCTGTGAGAGGGGCTTGTATACTAAAATTCTTCTTTCTGGGGATCACAAAGCCTCCCGGCCGACCTGGCGGTGGGCGACCTGGGCTCGCTGCGCGCCGTCCTGTCCGAGTGGGGGACGCGCGGCACGTCGCTCACGGCGCAGCTCGACGCGCGGCTCGACACCGAGAAGCAGGACACGCTCCTCACCTTGGCCGCTCGCCACGGGCAAGCCGAGGCGGTGCGGCTGCTGCTCGAAGCCGGCGCGAGCGTTGGGGTGACGACTGGCAGCCGCGGCGGCTCCGCGCTGTACATCGCGTGCCAGAACGGCCACCTCGAGTGCGCCCGGCTGCTCCTCGAGGCCAACGCGGCGGTCGATCAAGTCATGAAGGATGGCTCCACGCCGCTGCTCATGGCGTGCCAGAACGGCCACCTCGAGATCGTCCGGCTGCTCCTCAAGGCTGGCGCGGCGATCAAGCAAGCCGTGAAGCGAGGCGGCACGCCGCTGTACATCGCGTGCCAGAACAACCACCTCGAGATCGCCCGGCTGCTCCTCGAGGCCAACGCGGCGATCGACCAAGCGACGAACAACGGCTTCACGCCGCTGCGCGTCGCGAGCCAGAGTGGCCACCTCGAGATCGTCCGTCTGCTGTGCGTTGCTGGCGCAGTGGTCGACCAAGCCGACGAGCAAGGCGCCACGCCGCTGCTCATGGCGTGCCAGGAGGGCCACCTCGAGTGCGCCCGGCTGCTCCTCAAGGCTGGCGCGGCGGTCGGCCAAACCAACGACGGCCGCGTCTCCCCGCTGCACACCGCGTGCCAGAACAACCGCCTCGAGATCGTCCGGCTGCTACTCGAGGCGGGCGCAGTGGTCGACCAAGCCGCAGAGGACGGCGCCACGCCGCTGTACATCGCGTGCTTTAACGGCCACCTCGAGATCGCCCGGCTGCTCCTCGAGGCCAGCGCGGCGGTCGGCCAAGCCCAGAACCAAGGCGCCACGCCGCTGTTCATCGCGAGCCACAATGGCCACCTCGAGTGCGCCCGGCTGCTTCTCGCTGCTGGCGCAGCGGTCGACCAAGCCGAGGAGCAAGGTGCCACGCCGCTGCTCATCGCGTGCCAGAACGGCCACCTCGAGTGCGCCCAGCTGCTCCTCGAGGCCAGCGCGGCGGCCAACCAAGCCAAGCAGGATGGCGCCCAGCCCCCTTTTTCAGTGGCGTGTCCGAAACGGCCCACCTTCGAGATCGGCTTCGGCTGCCTTCTTCGGGGGTTAGGGGCGGGCGGTCAACCCAAGGCCAAAAAAGAAAGGGCGCTCCCCCCCCCCT